TATAATACTAAACTTTCTTTCATAGTTGATTTGATACAATGTTATAACAGGCCTCTTTCTTGCCATTGCCATCTCTTCCTGCATTAGGAAATCACAATCATCTATAATAGCATCCCTCCTTGCTCCTATCCGCCACTTACAGTGAAATATCCGTCTTCAAATTCAAGTGATTTTCTCTAATTATTTCTCAATTTTAAGTTAAATGGTATTTATGAGCCTTAGAATGTTAAATGGGGAAGAAAGTAAGCATGATTTCGATTAAAAGTTAAAAAATTAAGTTCGGATTTTGCTCATAGGGTGCGGTAGTGCAAGGGAAAACGAAGTCTAGCTCTTGAGAAAATAGGAAAATAAATAGGCTTCGGTGAACGTCGCGGTGCTCGGTCTTAGATGAGCATATTTTGGGAGAATCTAGAAGATTTTCTGGAGCACTGAGGCGATGGGATAGTCGGGCACCGCGGTGCTTGTTCAAAATAATGAAAATTTTAATATTAAAATGTCATAAACCACTTGTCAAACTCACCACCACCCTAGGCTTGTCGAAAATGTGAGGAGGAGGAAAAGAAAGAAGAAAAAGAGGGAAGAAATTTGGAGGCCAAGGTTCGGGATTCGTCCATGGGTTAGCTAAGTAAATTGTAGAGCTTCAGGTAGACTTCTTAACCCAAGTTTCTGATTTCAATTACAGTAAATTTATTAAAAGATATGAACAAAATATGATTTTCTTGAGTTTTATGAAGTTTTTGCTGCATGATTTCTGGTGGGTTATTGTGCTCTTTATTACGTATATTTTGGTTATATGCAATTGAGTTTTGGATTATTAATTTTTTTAGCATGGATTTATGAGCATATTATCCAATTTAGACTTTTCTGGCAATAATAGTAGTTATATAAAAGTCTTGAAATATTATTTGTAAACTTCCTTCTCAAAGTAGAAATTAAAAAAGGGAAAGTACATTGAGCATTTTGTTCTACAGTAAAAGTGCTTTTATAGGTAATTTATATGCTTTCAGCGTACTACATCAAAAACCTAAATTAAGTACATTTACATTACATTTGTATCCTACATTCATAATATTAGAGGAGTTTCATTCTAATGTATGTAAAAGTGCGCTCTATGTTATGTTATAAAAAGCCCTAGATGTGCTCTTTTGGCCCCATCTGTCTGATGCAAATGTGAGAGGGATTTTGGTCCCACTTACTGGAAGCAGGTGTAAGAGGTTAAGTAATATTGTAAGTACTATTCTAACCCCATTTGTCAAGCCTTATTTAATGAATTTGTAGACTATTTGACTAGTTAAGAAGTCAATGGCTACTGAGATGGACTTGAGGAAGGCTTTAAATACTTGTGGAATGAAATAGAAGGAGTATGGGATAATAAGCTGGAAATTTTAACTAAATGAATGCATAAGTAAGCATGTTTGGCCATACTTAATGGTTTGACTGAGTCAATTGGGTCAAAGATTGACTCACCAATGGCTTGAGTGTTTTTGATTCATGCTTCGAAAGGATTATAGAAATTTGATAAGGTTGATTTAAGTGTATGTATTGATTGACCCAAATTGGTTTGATTTGACCAAACATGAGTTTAGTTGACAAATTCAATTATTAATTGGGTCAATGTAGTCAATCAAGTCCAATTCACTAAGAATCACATGCAGGGGAGTTGAATGAAGTTCAATAGTGGTCTGGGGTTTAATTGGGGGTGATAGTGTTGTATGATCAATTGGCCTAGCTCGGGCTAGACCAGCTAGGTAAATTGATCAATCACTGGCTAGAGGGACCTAGTGATGTATGGAGTTCCTAGTAAAGTGATTTGGATGGTGACTGAGATCTGGGAGGCTAGTGCACTATATAAGGCGGTGTACTAGGCTACGTGATTGCAATGTAGGATTGCTAGCTGCTCAGGTGATTGATGTTCAATGATTACAATTAATAATTACTAATTATAAATATGATTGATAAATGCAATTAGATATCCAAGGTGATTTTGAATCAACTGATTATAACTTAGTGATTATAGGTTAACTAATTGTTGACCAAGGAGCTATAGATTAAGTGATTGTAGGCTAGATGATTAACAATTGGATGATTATTAATCATAGGATTGAATATCAGAAGTTTGATAGTCATGATGATCTCACATAAAACTGAGGTTAACACCCCCCATCTCATCTTCCATAGGGGTGCCAAAATGGGTCAATGGGTTGGGTTTTGGTCTGACCCTTGACCTAAAATTGGCCCAACCTAAATTTGGTCAACCCAAACCATACCAATTTAATAAACGTGGTTAAAAATGTGAATACAAACTTACATGCTAGTAACTTGAATGACTCAAACCCAATTTGATAACCTTTTTTTATTTTTAATTTTTTTTAAATAATTTTCAAGCAATCGATTTTAAATTTATTAATAACAAATAAGACAATCATACCAACAAATAAAAAAATTAAGAAAAAAATTAAACATGCCATTTCAGAATGAAATCGATTGGCGTGTCAACTCGAACCTAGCTTGTTTATTAAATGATCAACTCGAATCCAAATTTTTCAGGATGGGTCGGGTCAGATTGGTGGTCGGATCATTTTTTGACACCCCTAATCTCCCACCCCTCAACATGTGCCTCATTATATTTTAAAACTTAAAACTATAGCTAACTTTCACGAGTTTCTTTTAGTTGCTTTTTCAAAGACTTACACAAAATATTAGTCGATCCCAAATAATCTCAGACTTCCAAAGCTTAAATCTATTCAACATCTCAAACTCTAGCTTCATGATCACCATATCTCGGATAAGCTTCATTAATAGTTGTTAGAAAAAATGCCTAACATTATGCAAAATCATTAGCAACTGAAAAATACAATGTTTCTTAAAACAATCACAAATTGATCAAACAATACATAATGGAAACAAATTTATATGGCTTAGCTTGAATAAGATATACCTCAATGGGAAAGGTTAAAATGTGTATATAATAAAAATGTTTTCAAATCATGCCAATTCTCAAGCACATATATGCTCAATAAGAAAAGCACAATGAAACTCTTATATAAGATTACCTCTAGTCAATATATCAAACACAAGATGAAGTTGATAAGAATAATGGTTAATGCCGCTAAATCATCATTTCCTAGAGGGAATCCAATTTGATAAACCTTCTTCTTCTTGTATGTATAAAGAAACCCTAATTAAGAGGCATGCTATCCTTCCTATACTACACAAGAAACTCTACTAAAAAAGATATATAATGAAAAAGATATATCTTCTTATCGATCATACACACAAGATGATGATGAGAACAACATGAAAAATAAATTAAGATAGGACTCGTACACTAAAATCATGGCATACAATTGTAGCACGTGCCCTGAGGTCTCAAGTGTGTAATTTCATGGAGTGAAATTCTCTTGTGCAATACACTTCCCAATGTTAACAATCATGAGCATAATACTTAAGAATTAAGATAATGTTTCTTATATCACATTTACCATAATAATAATCGAGCCAACATTATAAAAAAACATTGAACCTCTCATTTATCTTGTGATTTTAACAAATTTTTGGGATTTTTGAAAAAAACAAACAAACTGAGGCCGTCAGGCGGTCATACAAATTTGTATTTGATGCTTAAAATATGCTTGCAATTATTATTTGTTATTTAGAGGGCATTTAATTTGTTAGAAAAGAAATGCTAAAAGAAACACAATATAAAATAAATTCAATGTGTTTAATTTAAAATTGTTTGATTAGGTATAAAATAAATATAAAAGATTACTATTTTGATTTAATATGGAGTAAAATGAATTCATGTGAAATGCTAGTTGTTGGCGGAGATGGGGTGTTGATTGTTGGCTAGCAACATTCAACGATGAGCGATAGTCGGCGTAGGGTAATGAGGCAGTGGCTAATGGTAGTAGTTGGTGACGGCTTTACAAAGTTTATAAAAATCGGTCAAAGTGTTTGATTTTTAAATATACAAAATGAACTAGAGGGTGAATTACAAATCCATCAATAAATTACATTGCATTTGAAATTTACTCTATTAAACATCTAAATTCTCAAAATACATGAATTTAAAATGCATTACACAATAAATGCAACAAATTCAAACATCTCCTTGGGTAAATTAGGTCTTCATAAAAAATGTTCATTCATATATAAATAAAATAACTTTTTTTTTCACCTTTATTAATCCCTCGAAATTGTGTATTTATCAAATCTTACCTAAATACATGACCAATATCTTATTAGCCAATATTTATTTACTCAAATTGTCACAAAATCAAACACGGGCAACGCTTCTTATTTTTATTCCCCAATGTATTACTCTAGTACATATTTGTTGACTTATTTTTATTTTAATTTTCTTTTCAAGTAAGAAAAATATAAAAAGAATAATTGTTTACTTAAGAGATATTATTTTATTTAGAGGCCATGAAATTTTAGCTATTTTGAGTGTAAAATAAAATAAAAAAATATTTAAAAAATTAGATATTTAATTAGATACAAATTATATTTAAATTAAATTTGACGATATATTTAAAATTTATCAATTAATTTATTTTTAATGTATTTTAAAATCAACTACTTCACATAATTTTCCAATACGGCAATACATTATATCACTTCACCACTCATCACCGACTGCCTTTTCCCTAATCTATTTCTAAATATATAATTTTTGGATTACATCATTAAAAACATTGAATTCAATTTTACTTCAAAATAAATAACAAACATTTCTAAATTGAAAATATTTATCTTATTCATATTTAAATCTTCCTTCAATTTCAAATTACTCTAACCGAACAGACCCTAAAGCCGTTGACGATGTCTGCTCGGGATTAGGGTTAATGGATTATGTAGCCAAAAACTCCCAACGGTTCGAGATATCGATCAAAATAGTATAAATTAGAACGGCACCGCACCAATTTGGATTTAACCCAGATCGAACCAGCGTTTTAATATAAAGCCGGCAGATGGAGTGGGTCTGATAACTCATAACTGTGTTCAGGGTCTAAAAAGAAAGCTCAAGAGTCGTCCCCGGGTGGAGAACATCGCCTCACGTGCGCCGCAACCAACCTGCGGTCATCGCGCCCCTCAGCTTTCTGCTTCTTCCCCGACTTTCTCCGTGCCCAAGGAAATCACAAGTCGACGAAATAGAGGGGTGAGAAACGAGGACAGCAAAGAAGGGAGCATCGATTGTCGGGGTCAAGATTATGATGCCGAACCAGGCGTACATCCGTGTGGGGAGCATCGGCAGCGGCGGTGGCAGCGCCGCGGTTGCGAATGGCGGAAGCGGGACACCGTCGCCGCCGGCTTCGCCGAGGAGGTCTCCGAGGATGCACCGGCGGGGGGCGAAGGATGGCGGCGGATTTGGCGGTCGGAGGTTACCGCCGGGGGCGCCACGGACGCTTGCACAGAAGTTGGCGTGGATGCTGCTCTCTCTTCTCCTCCGGCGCCAGGCCATATTCCTCTTCGCGCCACTGATATACGTATCCGGGATGCTCCTCTACATGGGCACCGTCTCGCTCGACGGCGTTCCTGCGATCATCTCCCGACCCGCCCCTGGCTCACTTTACAGGAGCCCTCAGCTCTATGAACGCCTCCGCGCTGACATGGACGCCGATAACTCATCCGACGGGGTTAGTCCCTTCTAGCTTTAGTGCTTCACTCCTCGTCCGGATCTGAAGTACTCTGCGTTTCTTGTTGCATACAATGTATGGTTAGGCGTTTGACATTGTTTATAGTTCGGTGGTGAGGAGGAAGCCTTGAGTGTGGACAATACTGTGGCGAATCAGCTGATCGGTGAAAGATGGAGCTCTGAGGGGATTCTTTAGTCTTATTTCTTGTTTGATGTTTCTTCGTAATGAGGATTGGTGCATTTAGGGTTCCTAACAACACTGATAGTGAAGCTTGGGATAGTGTCTGGAGTAAATGATTCTTCGTGATGCAATGAATTTTTCATCTGATTCAAGATTATTCTTCTGATATGTTTTTTTGACATTGTTATGGAGTGTGATTTGACATTGGAAGCAGGTGACAGCTTTCTGTTAATTCCAAAAGTCGATGTTTAAACCCGGTTGAGGCTGCCCTAGAGGATGGGGTGTAGGAAAAATAGTACATGTTAAGTTAATGGCAGTTCTGGTATTCTGGCCTTTTATTCTCCGTCTAACTTCCATTTTTCTTAAATCTTTATTAGCATGCTTTCAGAGTTTTTGAGTTGATGGCCTTCCTGCTGCCTATGCCTGAAGTGACTTTGTTCTGTAGTTTTCAGTTTTACCTTGTTTGTCCGAGAATGCCAAAACCTGAAATCCGTTCTAGGTATTGTTGATATACACTTTGAACATAAAAACTCTTCCGGCAATATATTCTTGTAGTCTATCTTGCACTAGATGGTGCTAGGACAATGGAAGTGCCTGCATTTTGCAATTGACAGATCTTTTTTCATTCCATTGAGCTGTAATTGACAAGAATAGGTTTAAGTAGATGAGAGCATTCCTGCTTATTTGTCAGCTCACTTTTGTTCTATTTTCACTTCAAAAAGGGTTCATCTTTTACTCGAGCCATGTAGGATTGTCTAGGTGATGTTTGTTTAATTCGTATGTGTTGAGATGAAATCATCTTTAAGGGAAAATGAAAAAAAGAAACATTGTGGTATCAGTTTGATGAAAAAAGGTAGAATTAAACCGATGGTTGTTGTCCTTGTGTTAAGAGGTGAACCTTTATTTTGCAAGGATATGAAGCTCTTCATTCTATAGTTGCTTGTTAGTTCATTTCATTGCTTGCAATAATAATATTCTGAAATGTAACATAGTTGAAGTCTATCAATGTTATCCTTGTGTTAAGAGGTGAACCTTTATTTTGAAAGGAGATGAGGCTCTTCATTCTGTAGTTGCTTGTTAGTTCATTTCATTGCTTGCAATAATAATGTTCTGAAATGTAACATGGTTGAAGCCTATCAATGTTAACAGAATGTTTAATAAATGCTGTAGCTTTTGTGAAGTGCCTTTCAGTTCTTCTATAAATGTGGTATGATTTCAAACTTTTCCAGGAGACACTATTCAAGTGTTTTTGCTCCCAATTTAGTTCAATGAAAGGTAGATGTACTAGTAGTCAATTATGCCGAAGTTTTTCTTGAAGTTGGCCAGGAAGTTGTTTTGGACTACTTTTGAAGTTCTAGTTCATTAAAAGATCATACAGAAATCAAAATATTACTTGAAATATCAATTCCTCAACAATGAAAAATCTGAAGCGTTTACAGTTGTAGGTTGTATGAGATCTGGGACATTTTGTCTTGCTAAGAAATGCTTTACTTATCTATGTTGATTTGCTGTTCAACATCATTCATTTTCATATTTTGGCATTGATTTTGAATTATTTGGGTTATGCTTAAAGAGAATAATAGAGAATTTTGGTGTTATGCTTAAAAAGAATAATAGAGATGAACAAAGAATAATAGTAGAGGTGAACGGAAATCATTTGCTTGGAATAATAGATGGAAACTTAAGTTTGTAAGCCTAGTTTTTGTTTTTATATTATTTTTTAATTTTCTCTAATTTCTTTCTACGATTGAGTTTTTTTTTCATGGTTATCTTTAGGAAAAAGTTGAGACAACATCAATCTTTTATAACGGTGATGAGGGAACAGTACATGTGAAGAGGAAACAGTACATGGGGAGTTAGTGTACTAGTAGCCAATGGTGTCTTATACAAGTGTTGACAGTTAATTATCTTCTAAATTGATCTCTTAGTTGTAAAGTTGTTTGTGAAAAATAAATTTGTTATTGTTATTCTTCTCAATGATTCGAGAATTACTTGCATTTGAAATTAGAATGAAAGGAGAGGGGACTAGAAAATGAGAGATTGTATGCTTAATTTATATTTTCGTATTTCATTTAAACAAATAAGATGAGAAGTTGTATATTAATAGTTAAAGAAACAATTACCAAGAAAATAACCAAATTTTAGAAACAAGTCTTTAATTTTAGAATATTGAATTCATTTCATAGTATAAATGATTGTTGTTGTCCATAGATTGATGGATTGTTGTACATAAAAAGTTATCCATGAATTCCTAGGTTATTGTAGATGGAAATATGCTAGTCATGAATTCAAGATTATTTCAACACTTCCCATCAAATTAGGCTGCATATGTTGATCATTCCCGATTTGTTGACTAGTTTATCAAAACTATTTTGGGTAAAGCTTTGGCGAGGATATTTGTAATTTACGAGTTTGTTGGAATATTGTATGGTTGGGCTAAATCCATTTTCATTATGTTTCTTTGATGAAATATTGCTCTTTCTCAATGTTTTTAGTTTTGTCATTTTGGATTGGATTTTTGTTAGACTGGTCCAGCCGGTCCACGCAGGACTGGCCCAACGAAACAGAGGCGGAAGAGTCCGCCTCTTCCTGTAGGCGCGATCTGACTACCATTGTGAGAGCCATTTAGGAAGGTTTTTGAAGGGAGTTTAGGAGGGAAATTAAATGTAGGGACTGCTTAGAGATTTCCTTTTAAATTGTATGCATTAAATAGTTTGCTTTCCTAGGGTTAGGGCATCTTGAATTTGTCTGAAATTTGAGATATCTTAGTTTGTCTTGGGCTCTAGCGGCGTGTAGAGATTGGGAGAGATCGATCCTCCTCTCGAATTGAGGATCACTTGTTTCTTGTTTGTTTTTCGTCCGTTAATTGATTTTTGCAATAAAATCTATTGTTTTTCCTGATTTTCATTGGAGTTTGAAAGAGTTTTCTCGTTGTTTCTTTGAAGATTGATAGGAAATACTTGAGATCTACAAGTGTTACCTATCAATTTTTTGCTATAATTATGACAATCTAGTTGTCATAATGCACTTTTAGAGTTTTTTTTTCACTTGATAGTTTAGTTCTTCTAACAATCTCTTAACCACAATCCTTCATAAATGCCTAGTGTTGCTACCGTATATTCAGCTTCAGCACTGCTTCTTGAGATCACATACTTATATCTCCATGTTACCAAGTTTCCCCATGCACAAGTACAATGACTGGAGGTGGATCTTTGGTTTGATGGCTCTCCAGCTCAATTAGCATCTTTGAAATTTTGATTATTTTATTGTATGACTTTTTTTTTATAACATGCATTTTTATAGTGCCATTTTCAGGCACCTTAGGTGCGATTAACAACTTCCATGTGGTATTTAGTAGATTTGTTCATTTATAGGCTTAAGATACTAATATAGAACCCAATAGCAACATGAGTGAGGTAGGTGAGGCCTATCAGGCATTGCTACCACCCTTTATTAGTAGGTGTGGAATTAGTACTGATTCCTTATTTTTTGTTGAGTCAATTGAAGTTTCTATGAGCTTATATCCAAGTATTACTATTTTTTAAAATAAATCAAGAATACTTCCTTCGGGAAATAACAATACTTTATTTGATCATGTCACTTTCATATCAAGAAAATATTTTAGATTCATATTTTAACTAAAACTCTTTTGCCAGAAATCACTTTAATTTGGTTTACTCATTATTGAAGTCGCCTATTAGTATAATATCATTTGTGCATATGATCAAAATCACTTTTTTTTTTTAGGTAATCATTTGATGAAGTGAGTGTGATCAATTTGGCACTGAGTCCACTTTCATTTTTCAACATATTAGGAGAATATGCCAAATCAAGCACAAGGGGATTGTTTGAGGCTATATTGAGCTTTTTTAAGTCTACATGCTTTAATGACATTTCTTTTTTAAGTTTTCAATTCAGGTGGGGTCTCCACATATACTTCTTTCTAAAGATCCCGGTTAAAAAACACTCTTAATGTCAAGTTGATGTATTGCCTAATCCAAATTTTCCGTAGGAGAGTGTAGCATGAATTTTATTATGTTTGGCAATGCTAGATAAAGTTTTTTGATAGTCAATACTATATGATTGGATGCACATTTTTATAATAAGTCGAAGTTAAAATTTATCCACCCCTCTATCTGTTTTATATTTGATTGTAAATACTTATTTGCATCCAATTAGATTTTTTTTTCTCAGTGGAAATTCAAAAACTTTCTACCTTCCATTATTTTCAAAGGCTTATATTTCCTCTATTATGGCTTTCTTCCGCTTAGAGGTTTTGGGAGCTTTCATGAACATTATTTGAAATATATATTTTATCAAGACCAATAACAAAAACATGAAATCAAGTGAAAAATTTTTTAGTAGTCATAAAATCATAGATTGGATGTTTTGTGCATGACCTCGATACTTTTCATAAGGCAATAGGATAGTGGAGATCAATATCAGTATCCGTGGATTATTCTCACAGGTTTGTATTTCATTTTTAGGTTCTTGGGTGTGTGGGATATATATTGATTGATGCCCTTCTTAAGTTTTTTTTTTTTTCTTTTTTCTTTTAGAAACAAAGCTCATTCTCCATTGGCTGAGTGTATTTGACAAGGAGATGAGGAAGTTTGTGGTAATGATGAGGCTTCAGTAGGTTGGATATATTTACAAGGTGATAAGGGAGTTTGCTGGTGTGACAAAGCTTCAATAGGTTGAATGAGTGGCAATGAGAAATGGTCATTATTCACATGTATGATGAGAGATGATGGTGGATGATTACATGAGTTCTAAACTTGAAAGTTATGTTCTTGCATTATTCACATGCAAGAGAAGGT